CGTTTTTTTTAAGTTTAAATATGTATTTCAGTTTTAAATTTTCCGGTTTTTCGATTTCGAGCTATTTCAATTTCTCCATTTCTCGGATCTTTTGATGTCTCAATTTTTTAATTTCGATTTTTCGGCTTTTCCATTTTTCAATTTTTTATTTCTTCAATTTTTTTAGATTTTTAAAATTCTCCATTTTTCGATTTTATGTTTTGTTATGCTTCGATCTCCCGATTTTAACCTTTTTAACGTGTATTCCAATTTTTCGATTTTGAATTTTCGATTTCTTACATCTCGATTTTTCGTTTTTTCGATTTTAAAATGTTTTTACTTTTCGTTCTTTTTTTCGATTCTGGATTTTTCAAGTTTTCGATTTCTCAATTTTTCAACATTTCAATTTTGAGAATGTCTATATTTTTCAGTTTTTTGATATTTTCATTTTTCATCTTTTTAAATTTTGATTTTTCGACTTACCGGAAATCGAGTTTTGGGTTTTTCAATTTTTCGACTTTTCAGTTTTGAGATTTTTCAATTTGTCGATTTTTTGGTTTTTCATTTCTTCAGTTTTTCGGTTTTTCAAGTTTTCGAATTTTTAAATTTAAAATTTTTCAATTTTTCGATTTTATTTTATTTACGTTCCGAATACCCGATTTTAATTTTTTTTACGCTTTTCAATTTTTGGTTTTTCTAAATTTTCATTTTTCCATTTCTCAATTTCTCGGTTTTTCGATTTTGTTTTTTTTAAATGTTAAATTTTTCGTTATTGTAATTTTTCTATTTTTTAAATTTTAGATATTTAGATTTTTCGACATCTTGAATTCTCGATCTTTTTTCAGTTTGAATTCCTCGGTTTTTCGATTTTCCAAAATTTCGATTTTTCAATCTTTCGATTTTTGAAAATTTTCGATTTCTCGATTTTTCAGTTTTTGATTTTCCAACTTTTAGATGTTTCAAATTTTAGTTTGCAAATTTCACGAGTTTACAGTTTTTAATTTCGTCAATTTTTCGATTTGCAATTTTTCCTGTGGGTTTTTAATTTTCTTTATTTTTTCAATTTTCTGCTTTCAATTTTCCGTTTTTTTAATTTTTCATTTGCAGTTTTTCTAGTTTTCATTTTAATTATGTAACAGTCCTAATAATTATAATTTTTAAAGTTGTTCACTTTTTCAGTTTTTCGTTTTTGGAATTTTTCAATTTTTCGGTGTTTGAATGTCACAGTTTTTGGACTTTACAATTTTCAAGATTCTATAATTTTTCGATTTTACAATTTTTGGATTTTCCAATTTTTCAATTCGAATGGTTTTTCTTCTTCCCCATTCTTCAATTCATTAATTTTTTTTTAGATTTTCAAGTTTCTCGGTTTTTAGTTTTTCATTTTTTCGAGTTTTTAACTTTTCGAATAAACGAAATCGAAAAATTATAAAATAGAAAAATTGTAAAACTGAAAAAGTACGAAATGAAAGCTTCGAAATATAAAAAAATTGGAAATCAAGAACTTAAAAAGTCAAAGATTGAAAATGTAAAAAATTGAATAAACAAAAAATTATAAAATCCAAAGAAACATTGAAAAAATAAAGATAAATGGAAAAATGAAAAATTGTGATATAAAATCAAGAAAATGAAAATTACAAAATCGGGAAAATGAAAATATCGAAAATCTGAAAAATATAGAAATTGAAAAATTCCCAAAATTGCGATGTTTAAAATTGAGATAGCGAAAACTTAAAAATCGAGAAATCGAAATATTTTTAAAATTGGAAAAGTGAGATATGAGAAATCGAAAATTCCAAAAATGGAAAAATTGAAACACATTAAAAAATTAAAATCGGGAAATCGAAACATAAAGATTATAAAAGGGAAAAATGAAAAATTTTAAAAATCGAAAATTTAAAATATATACTAGAAAAATCGAAAATTTTGAAAATCGAAAAACCAAGAAATCGAAATCGAAAACTTGAGACTTCAAAAGATCGAGAAATCGAAATAGGCCGAAATCGGAAAATTCAAAATTGAAATATTTACTAAAAAAGAAGATAAACGGAAAAATCGAAAAACAAAAAAAACGATAAACCTAGATATGAGAAACAGAAAATTCCAAAAGTCGAAAAATTGAAATACAGATTAAAAAGTTTAAAAAAAAAAAAGTTAAAAATTCGTAAAAACAAATTCCATTCGATTTTCCGTTTTATCGATTTTGCAATTTTTTGTTTCTTCAATTTTTTCCAATTTTTCAATTTTCCGATTTTTCAATTTTTCGAATTTTCTACTTTCCGAATAAACAAAATGGAAAAGTTATAAAATAGAAAAATTGTAAAATTGAAAACTCAAAATGAAAAAACGCAAAAGTATAAAATGAAAGCTTCGAGAAATCTAAAAACTTGAGAAATTGAAGAAACGGAAAATTCAAAAATCGGAAGATTAAAAATTGAGAAACTTAAAGATCGAAAAATTGGGGTCGAAAACACGAAAATTATTGTTAAATCTAAATATTGAAAATTGGAAAATCGAGGAATTGAAAATGTGAAAAATTAAACGAAAAATTGTGATATAAAATCCAGAAAATGAAAATTAAAAAATCGGGAAAATGGTATGAAAAAAATGAAGAACTTGAAAGAACGCCGAATATGTTCATTGCGCTACACATAACCTCAATTTAGTCCTTAATGATTCTGTTAAGAATATACCAGGAATTTCCACATTTTATGATTTAATAAATGCTATATACGTCTATTTCAGTGAGAGTTTACCGAGATGGCAACAACTTAACATTGAGATGAAAGAAAATGATAAGTGTGTTATAAAAAAAACTTTAAAAAAGTTATGCCCCACCAGATGGTCATCGAGATTTGATTCTCTAATTGCCATTAGATATAATCTCTCAACAATTATGAGCTGAAATTATTTTAACATCAAAAAAGAAAAGTGAAATAGATGAAGCTGTAGCTCTTCGTAAAAAAATGGATTCATTTGAATTTGTTGCTCTATTAGTATTTCAATGCAAAATTTTAGAAAATGTTAATTTGGTCTCAAAAACTTTACAGAGTTCAAATATTACTTTAGATGAGGCTTGTAAATGGATGGAACATCTAAAAGACAAATTTCAAAGTATACCTACGTGACAATTTTGAACAAATAATGGAGGAATCAAGGAAATGTGCTGATACCTGGAAAATTAACAATTCTTTTTCAAATAAACGTATAAAAAAAGTAAAACTGTTTCATGACGAATTACGTGAAGATGCCGTTTTCAAAGATCCCATTGAAAAATTTAAAACAACCGTTTTCTATCCTGCTCTTGATATTTTAAATATTCAAATTAAAGATAGGTTTGAAAGCATGAAAAACGTCAGAAACTATTTTTTTTTTCTGGAACCACAGGAAATGTTGAATAGTACAGACGAAGAATTGGTGGAGGCAGCATCAAAGTTGGCAAATAAATACGAAGAAGATATTTCTAGTGCAATCTGTGGGCAAATCGTTAGTTTTAAAAACAGCAAAAAATAACTAAAATTACAGATATTGCTAAGTTTCTGTTTATGGACAATAATTTTTTAACGGCAGAAAGATCGTTTTCTAAATTAAAATTTTAGAGATCGAGAGAGATCCCCGACTATACAAAGATCACGACGGATTACGTATTGGAAAAAATAAGAGAAGTTTTGAATAATCCAAGGTAGTTTATTGTTTAATTAGAAACGTATTAATAGATAGTTTGTTTTTAGTTACACCGCAAACATGAAAAGAACTTCGACGATCTACAGAGATCAGACCGAAACTCCTTTAGAAAGGGCGATTTTTTGGGCCGAGTATGTGATGCGTCATGATGGTGCGCAGTTTTTGAGTACTCCGGCACGGGACCTTCCATTATATCTAGTTTCGGGCTTGGATATTCTTGCGTGTTTAGTTTTAGCAAGTATTTTTATAACTTGGTTATTATGCAAGATTATAAAATTTGTTATATCTCTAGTTGTGGGTGGTCAAAAATTAAAGACAAATTAAAATGTGCAAGTATTTTGTGTGTATTTATTTTTGAATGACCCGACATTTAACTCTTGATGAGCTCGTCAACAATTACGTAATACGACAACGAAAAATAAAATTGACCACGAACTCAGCCGCATTATTTCTAATTTATAATAAACATTTAGCGTAATTCGATAACGTTTTCCAGCAAGAACGATGCGAATAAAATTTCACCAATGAAAATAATACGCCTACAACGAAAATGAATGTTTCACATTGCTCAAAAATTTTTAAAATAAGAGCGAATCAGTTTTTATCGGATACGCAATTTTCCACATTTTCGGGATGACCTTTCAAATAAATGATAAAAACTAATCGTGTTCTTAAATGAAACTAAAGGTCACCATAAACATCAACAAGTAGGAAAATGCATCATCATAGACGGTTGAAATTATCGCTAGTCATTTTATTAACGCATTTTTGATTTGACATAAATTCCAAATCGTTTTCCTATAAGCAATAAAAAATCGAAAAACTGATTTACAAGGACATCATTTAAGAATTTTTCGAAGACTTTAAATAAACCATTTTATGCATTTTTTTGCGTAAAGTAGGACACTCGATATATTGTTTCCACCAACTATACTCTAGACTTTCAAGGTCAAACTTAATTGGTTATATATTTCCTAGTTTATTATCAACTCACAAGAGTTTGAATTTTGATGTATTAACCTGCCAAACAAAATTATTTGTGCGTTTAGTAAGACGTACGAAACCTTGTGCAAAATTTTAAGCATTCAGTACACAATTCTGACGAAACGCGACAACCCATACTCGAACTAGGAATTCCACAGTCAAAAACTAAAGTGCAACTAGGTGTGTTTAAAGCAGAAAGGCTAAAAGTAGACTCTGGACCCGCTCTCCGTGTCACTCAACATTACCTACCAATTACATCTATTATATCTATTTCGGCTTATCACGGACTCTGATGGCTTTAACTGTGTAATTACACTATCAACTATGTATGTGTCAAGGACAAATAAATAGATTGGTCCCTCTAAACGATAGTGGTTTATCAGATCCTCCGAACAGTTCGGTTGTGATGCTGAAAGACCACTATTCAAAAATTCGTGCACGATGATTAAATTTCTCCTTATTTTGTGCTTGAGTGTCAACTGTGTGCTCAGCAGTAACATCCTCTACATTTCCCCGGTACCATCACCAAGCCATCACATATGGAACCGAGCTTTCGCCTTCGGTCTCGCCAGCAAAGGCCACAACGTCACGTTGATAGGGCCCGATCGAGACAAAGTCAACCCGGCCAACTACACTCATCTATACATAGAAGGTACCTTTTCCAAAAACCGTAAATACAATTAAGTCAACAGTTTGCGTTTTCAAGGTTCGTATGAAAGTTTTCACGAGTCCGTGGACATGCTAGACATGGCGGATAACGGCCCTATGGATACCATAACCCAGTTCGTAGACTTCTGCCTCATACTATGTAAAGCAGGTTTAAAAAGCCGAGGTCTTGAACAACTATTAGAATATCCACCGGATTTCAAGTTCGATCTGATCATTACTGATGCTACGATAGGAACCTGTTTCCACCCGCTCATCCACAAATTTAACTACCCTCCGACTATTGCCGTCACCCCGTTTCTACTACCTTCGTTCCTATCTTACAATTTTGGCAATCACTTAAACCCAGCGTACGTACCCTGGTATGGGTTGCCTTATACCAACGACATGACTTTGATTCAACGCCTGTGGAACTACCTATTCACCTACATGGAAACCGTCGTCAAAAACACCCAACAAAAGAAATTAGAATACGAAACTGCGAAAAAACACTTCGGGGAAGACACACCACCTGTGGAGAAGCTAGAGCGCCACGTATCTTTGTTGCTAGCAAACTATGACCCCGTTTTGAACTATCCGCAAATTTTGACACCTAATATTATTCCTGTCGGGGGTCTGCATACCAGAAGGGGCAAGGAAATACCCAAAGTAGGTACAATTCTTTAGTGTTTAGTGTACTCGAAGGGTGTTCTAGGACTTAGAAAACATTCTTAGCAGTGCCAAAAACGGCATCGTTGTGTTCTCGTTGGGTACCAATGTCCGTTCAGACATGCTAGACAAGACGACACAAAAATCTCTAATTCAAGCTTTCAGTAAGTTGTCGGAAACCGTGATCTGGAAATTCGAAAGCGAGCTCGATAATGTGCCCAAGAACGTCATTATTAGGAAGTGGTTGCCCCAGAACGATATTCTAGGTTTGTGGGTGCACCCAACCGGGGAAAATAAACCCATAGTGTTGTAGGTCACCCGAATGTGAAGCTGTTCATCGGACACGGGGGCGCCTTGAGTACCCAAGAAGCCATCTATAACGGGGTACCCATGATCTGCGTGCCTTTCTTTTTTGACCAACACATCAACACAAGGGACATTATAAACAGGAAGTTGGGGATCTCTCTCGACTATAAAAGAATCACGACGGATTACGTCTTCGGAAAAATAAGGGAAATTTTGGATAATCCAAGGTGAGTTGTTTACATTCAAACATCTTAGTGGTACTTTGTTTTTAGCTACACCACCAACATGAAACGAGTTTCGAGGATATACAGAGATCGGACCGAAACTCCTTTAGAGAGGGCGATTTTTTGGGCAGAGTACGCGATTCGGCATGATGGTGCCCAGTTTTTGAGCACTCCGGCACGGGATCTTCCATTTTATATAGTTTCAGGGTTGGACGTTGTTGCGTGTTTGGTTTTAGCAACTATTGCAATACTTTTGTTGCTTTGTAAGATTGTAAAATTTGTTACGTCTCTTATTGAGGGTGGTCAAAAAATAAAAACAAATTAAAATACAGAAGCAAATGTATGTTTTGCAATGTCTCGACATTCCGCTGCAATTATCCAATTGCGTAACCCGACAACAGGAAACAAAATTGACCACGTCAAAGTCAGCCGCGTGATTTATAATGGGCATTTCGATAACGTAGTCCAATAACAATTAAGTTTCAATCAAGAAAACCACACGCGGTGGTCAAGGTTCTTGTTTTGCGTTAAGTACCAAATTGGGGTTAGTGGTTCCTTCGCCTTCCAACTTCAAGTTTCAACAGATTGTCGGAAATGGTGATACGGAAATTTGAAAATCAAGAATTTGCATATTTTAAATGCACATTTTTTATGTTATTTTAAATTCCATACGTAGTAGACACAAAACTTATCGCTGCGGTACGTAAAATCGGCCATTAATTTTGTTTAATAATAAGCAGTGACTCAGAAGATTAATAGAACGCCAAGTCGACTGATAAGTTTTTCAAAAACTCATCTAACTGAATATTTAATTTATCATTAGATCTTCAAACTGAAAAAAGGGGTTTTAAAACAAAAAGCTGGATAGATATTTTCTTGTACGAAATAAAATAACAACAATTCTGAATCGGACAACAAGGATTTGGATTTTTGATATATACTTGCTTGTATCAACTAACTTCTTGGAGCGGAAGATGAAAAACGCTCGAGTGCTTACCTGGAAAGAAAATAAGAATAAATGAGTTATATATCAAGTGGTACCTCTGAAAAAATAAAAGAATATTCTGTATGTCGTTATTCAATGACAGACATGATTGGTTATAAATTGGTTAGCGCTATCAACTTTCAAGACATTTTCAATTTTGATCTATTGACCTGCCAAGGAAAATTAGTTGCACGTTTAGTAATACGTACCAAGTTTGATAGAAAGATATTAGGTATTCAGTACTTGATTTTGACTGAACGCGACAACCCATATTTGACCCGAGAAATCCATATTAAAAAAAAACAAGACTACCAAAGCGGCAACTCTGTGCATGTTAAGCACAAAAAATTCTTGCACGATGATCCAATTCGTCCTTTTTTTGTGCTTGAGTATCAACTGCGTGCTTAGTAGCAACATCCTCTACATTTCCCCAATACCAGCACCAAGCCATCACATATGGAACCGTGCCTTCGCCTTGGGTCTAACCAGGAAAGGCCACAACGTCACTTTAATAGGATCCAACCAAGACAAAGTCAACGCCGTCAACTACAGTTACCTATACATGGAAGGTATATCTTCACAAACCCTAGATACTTTTCAACAATTTTCAATTTCAAGGTGTGCTTGAAAGTTTTGACAAACCCGTACATATGCTTGACATGGCGGACAACGGCCCTATGGATACTATAACCCATTTCGCAGACTTTTGCCTCGTAGCATGTAAAGCGGGTTTAAAAAGTCGAGGTCTTCAACAACTTTTGGAATATCCCTCGAATTTCAAGTTTGATTTGATCATTATTGATGCTACGGTAGGAACCTGTTTCTATCCACTTATTCACAAGTTTAATTACCCTCCGACTATTGCGGTCACCGCGTTTCTTTTACCTTCATATCTGTCATACAATTTTGGCAATCATTTATACCCATCGTACGTACCATGGTATGGGCTAGCTTATACCAACGAGATGACTTGGATTCAACGCCTGTGGAACTGCCTATTCACGTTCATGGAAAGCTTCATCAGAAACACCCAATACAAGAAATTGGAATATGAATCCGGTAGGAAAATTTTTGGGGAAGACACACCACCTGTGGAGAAGCTACAGAACCACATATCTTTGTTGCTAGCAAACTATGACCCCGTTTTAAACTATCCACAAATTTTGACGCCTAATATTATTTCTGTTGGTGGTCTTCATACCAGAAGGGGCAAAGAAATACCCAAAGTAGGTACAATTCTTTAGTGTTCAGTGTACTCGACGGGTGTTCTAGGACCTAGAAAACGTCCTGAATGATGCCAAAAACGGCATCATTTTATTTTCGTTGGGTTCGAATATCCGTTCAGATATGCTAGACAAGACGACACAAAAATCTCTAGTTCAAGCTTTCAGTAAATTTTCAGAAACGGTGATCTGGAAATTCGAAAGCGACCTCGATAATTTGCCCAAAAACGTCATTGTTAGGAAGTGGTTGCCCCAAAACGACATTCTAGGTTTGTGGGTGCACCCAACCAGAAAAAATAAACCCATAGTGTTGTAGGTCACCCGAATGTGAAGCTGTTTATCGGACACGGTGGCGCCTTGAGTACCCAAGAGGCCATCTATAACGGGGTACCAATGATCTGCGTGCCGTTCTTTTATGATCAACACATCAACGCAAGGTACATTGTAAATAGGAATTTGGGGATCTCTCTCGACTTTAAAAAAATCACGACGGATTACGTGTTAGGAAAAATAAGAGAAATTTTGGATAATCCAAGGTAAGTTGTTTAATTTCGAACATAATAGTGGAAGTTTGTTTTTAGTTATTCTGCAAACATGAAAAAAGTTTCGACGATTTATAGAGATAGGAGCGAAACTCCTTTAGAAAAAGCGATTTTTTGGGCAGAGTTTGCGATTCGTCAAGATGGTGCGCAATTTTTGAGTCCTCCAGTGCGGGATCTTCCATTTTATAAAGTTTCTGGGTTGGATGTTGCTACGTGTTTAGTTTTAGCAAGTCTTGTTATAATTTTCTTACTATATAAGATTATAAAATTTGTTAAAACTGTAATTGACGGTGGTCAAAAATTAAAGACAAATTAAAATCTAAAAACATCTTTTGTAACGGAAATTTAGAATAGCATCTTTCCGTCCGTTTGTATGTCTGCCGTCTGTGTCGATATTTATTATAATCTCCAACTCGTTTGTTTCCGTCATATACAGCCGTAAATTAAAAAGAAAAATGGATCAACACGACCTTTTTAAAATCGCGATAAAATCAACGTAATTTATACGTTTTGCAGTTATCATTAATAATTCCTTGAACTCAATTTATGCATTTATTCTTTACGTTTATTACACTTTGCATTATCGCTTTGTTTGAAATATTTAAATTTCGGTAGATATAATTCGTTGTACGCACAGTGAATGCACTTCAATTGGTTTTAAACAGTTGAAATCGATGTTGGTACTACTGGTTTTGTTGGGTACGAAGTATGTGTTGGGTGCTAATATCTTACATGTATCGATGGTCAGCTCACCGAGTCACCAAATCTGGAACCGAGTTTTTGCTTTAGGTTTAGCCAAGAAAGGCCACAACGTCACATTAGTAGACTTACAAGAAAACTTGCAGCAATCCGCAAATTGTTCCCACATTTACGTCGAAGGTACCACATAAACAAAAACTGACTGAACATTTTATATTTAGTTTGAGGTCCTTTCAACCTAATGCAGTCTAAATTCGACGTATATGATTTAGCAGAAAGTACAGGGACTCAAAGTGTTGTCTGGATTAATGATCTGAGCATCGCAGCCTGTGAAGAGGCTCTGCATTCTTCAGGATTGCAACAACTGCTAAACTATCCTCCAACGTTCAAGTTCGATTTAATCATTTTTGACGTTATTTTTGACTGCTGTTTCTGCCCGTTAATCCACAGGTTTAATTATCCTCCGACAATTGCCACGAGCCCTTGGCCTCTACCATCATTTCTGGCGTACTCTTTTGGGAATCCTTTACAGTCGTCACATATCCCATGGTACGATCTTCCGAATGGAGAAGATATGAGCTTGATTGAACGTTTTTGGAACTACGTTTTCACGTATGGCGAAATAGCATTAAAATCTCGCATGACTAATAAATTGGAAGAAAAATTGACAAAAACCTTCGGTGATGATATACCGCCCTTGAAAAAGTTAAAGGGTCACATTTCTCTACTGTTATCTAACCATGATCTCCTGCTGAATTATCCTCAAGCTTTGACCCCGAACATCATTCCCGTTGGAGGTCTCCACATTGCAAGTACCAAAGAACTACCAAAAGTACGTACAATTCACGTAATTTTAAAACATCTCATTAGCTTCCTCAGGAACTGGAATCGGTTCTAGATGGCGCGAAAAACGGCGTTATCGTCTTCTCCTTGGGTTCAAATTTGCGCTCCAACTTGTTAGACAAAAAAGTACAAAGATCTCTACTGGAAGCTTTTAGTAAGTTATCAGAAATCGTGGTATGGAAATTCGAAAGCGAAATCGGCGATCTGCCGAAAAATGTTATCGTTAGAAAGTGGTTACCTCAAAACGACATTTTAGGTTCGACAAATACCAAATTTACTAAAAATAAATCATGGCATTTTAGCTCATCCCAACGTGAAGCTGTTCATAGGGCACGGTGGAGCCTTGAGTACTCAAGAAGCCATCTACCATGGAGTACCGATGGTTTGTATCCCCTGCTACCTTGATCAAAACCCTCATGCGGCGAAGATCGTTAGCGAAAAATTGGGGCTTTCTCTCGATTACAAAGAAATCACCACCGAAAATTTTTTAGGCCTTATAAGAGAAGTAATAGACAATTCAGTGTGAGTAGGTAGCTGCTAGAATAAATTTGTCTTAAATTGTTGTTTCAGTTACAGAGAAAATATGAAAAATCTCTCTAGACTATACAGAGATCGAAAAGAATCTCCTTTAGAACGAGGAATTTTCTGGGCGGAATATGCCATGCGTCATAATGGATGCCAGATTTTGAATACCCCAGCTCGAGATCTGTCGTTTTACCAAGCGTTAAGTTTGGATATTGTTGTTTCGTTTATTGCTTTATGTGTGGTTATGTGTTTTTTGTTATACAAGATAGCGAAAAGGCAATGATTATAACTTACCGGGAAACTATAAACCAATTTTCCTTAAATAAACAACTTTATGACCACACCAGTGTTGAAACGTTTAAACTTTACAGAGATAAAAAATCAGTGTTAAAAGGGCATTGTTCTAGAAGAAATAAATCTGTAACGCAACTGAGATAAAGTTGCGAACTTATGTAATTTTAGCATTCAATTTAAACAAAAACAAAAACAAATTGTTGAAACAACAAGTATAATAGTTAAAACCGCGATAAAGTCGACATGGCGCATGTTTACCTTGTACTTACTAGTTAATTATCATAATTTTAACCTATACTATTTTTTTAGACATTGATTTATACATCTGTAGTTTCCACATATATAAAAATTCGTCACACGTGTTGTGATTTTTTTGTCTTTATCAAAGCTCTGATAACTTTGCCAAGTTCTAAAATATTTTGAAATTTAATTTGTGCAAATATTTTAATACGTATCTCGTTACCCTCATCGACTCATCAAATTTGTTTTTGGTTTAGGCAAAAAAGGCCACAACATTACATTACTCGACGTCAAAGGACAACATGGAAACAGACGTGGAAGGTACTAATTAAATAAAGAGTGACTAAAAATTGCGTCTTTATTTTGTCACTAAATTCAATGTACCTACAGGGCTCAAAGTATTGTCTATCATTTCTAACCTACCCTTTTGGGAATCCTTCGTAATGGTACCACTTTCCGTGCGGAAAAGAAAGTCATAAGCAGTGATCAAATTTCTCTTTCTTTTACGTTAACTCCTCAACAACAACTGTTAAACTCCAAAATCAAGTCCGATATTTCCAATATTGATTCGAAAACAAGTTTCTGTTTGTACCGTGACAAACCACTTCTTGAACGACTGCAATGCAATTGCGATAAAGTTTCGAATTTTAATATACTGATAGCAGACATGACTTACGTATGTTTTCCAGTTAGTTATCACCAGACTAAGCTATAATATTTCCTCAAATGTGATTTATTCATTTGTATTTTACATATACTATCGTCATTTTTTCACACTATATACCTATTTTCTGAATAGATAATTCATTGTGCGGTTGACATAAATGAACTAACGCTAAACTTGCTAGGTTCTGAAGACAATGTTCGAGTTTTTGGTTTTGTGCATTCTGAGTGCAAAATATGTGTTCTGTGCTAATATCCTATACGTATCGACGGTAAACTCACAGAGTCATCAAATATGGAACCGAGTTCTCGCTTTGGGTTTAACCGAGAAAGGCCACAACGTCACATTTATGAACATAGAAAAAGACGAGGAGCAATTTGCAAACTGGACCCACATTTACGTAGAAGGACCTTACAAAGTGCTACAATCTAAATTCAACTTGAGCGACTTAATAGGAAGTAAGGGTATTCAAACTGTTGTCTGGACGGTTGATATAGGCATTGCAGTTTGTGAAGAGTCCCTTCATTCTCAAGGACTCCAACAACTGTTAAATTATCCTCGGAATTTCAAATTCGATTTAATCATTTTTGACATTATTTGGGGCTGCTGCTTCTGTCCGTTAATCCACAGGTTCAACTACCCTCCAGCAATTGCAACCACCCCTTGGCCTGTACCATCTTTTCTAACCCACCCCTTTGGAACCCCTTTACAATCTTCACATATCCCATGGTACGATCTTCCGTATGGGGAAGATATGACTTTAAGAGAACGGTTTTGGAACCACATTTTCACGTATAGCGAAATCGCACTTAAATCTCGTATTACCACTAAATTACAAGAAAAACTTGTAAAAACTTTCGGTGACGACATACCACCTTTGAAGAAGTTAGAGCGTCACATTTCTCTACTGTTTTCTAACCACGATGTTCTATTGAATTATCCTCAAGCTTTGACTCCGAATGTCATTCCCGTTGGAGGTCTGCACATTGCAAGTACCAAAAAATTACCTAAAGTACGTCAAGCTTATGTAATTTTATAATATTTAATGAACCTTTTTAGGAACTTCAATTGGTTCTAGATAGTGCTAAAAACGGCGTTATCGTCTTCTCCTTAGGTACAATTGTACGCTCCGACTTTTTAAACAAAAAGATACAAAGATCTTTATTGGATGCTTTCAGTGAGTTGTCAGAAATCGTGATTTGGAAATTTGAAAGCGAAATCGACGATGTGCCGAAAAATGTTATCGTTAGACAGTGGTTACCTCAAAACGACATTCTAGGTTCGTCGAACTCCAAGACCCACAAAAATAAACCATCGTCTTTTAGGTCATCCCAACGTGAAATTATTCATAGGACACGGTGGGGCTTTGAGCACTCAGGAGGCTGTGTACCATGGAGTACCAATGATTTGTATTCCTTTCTTCCTAGATCAAAACGTTCACACGGCAAGGATCGTTCGCGAAAAACTGGGGCTTTCTTTAGATTACAAAGAAATTACCACCGAAACTGTTTTAATTCGAATAAGAGAAGTATTAAACAATCCGGTGTGAGTAGCAGCTGCTGGGATGGAAACTATTGATTAAATTGTAATTTCAGTTACAAAGAAAATATGAAGAATCTCTCTAAGCTATACAAAGATTGCAAAGAATCTCCTTTAGATCGAGCACTTTTCTGGGCGGAATATGCCATCCGTCATAATGGGTGTCAGATTTTGGATAGCCGATCTCGAGATCTTCCTCATTACCAGACGTTGAGCTTGGACGTTCTTGCTTTGTTTATTGCTTTAGGTGTAGTTATGTTTTTATTATTGTACAAGATAGTGAATCTCCTTCTGGGCATTTTCTAACTTGCAAAATACAGATGAATTAGAACAGATTTGTCTTTGAATTTAGCTTCACAAACATATTTATTTTAATGAAATGCAGCTATCATGTAATAAACATGAAACTTATCGCTGCGGTTCGTAAAATGTCGTCACCAGTGTTACTCATTGTAGTACTTTGACGTATGTATATAAATGTTTATAGGCGAACACATTTTCATATCTAAGTTACGATTCTTTGTTCCTACTACTGAATTACGATCTAGATATTTAGGACAGATTCGCCTAATCATCGCTGGTTTTATTAGATAAATGCCAAGATATCAAAAAAGAACATAATCAAAAATCCTCCCATGACTCTCTATTTGTGTGTTCAATAGTTTCGCTCAAATCCTAGTTGTTTATGCAACATAAAGGCCGATTTATAGCTATTTCGCATACGCAAACGGGCCCGGATGACGCAACGGAAGAAAGTTTTTGCTAACATGCATTTATAACAACTCCGCATCCGGAAGCGGGTCCGTAACCGACGCAAGTTTCTTGTGGTGCTTACGTTTGACCAATACGGGTGGCTATCATCATGCATTAGCTGACTATGATTATGTACAGCGAGCGACGTAACCAAATGACAGGGCAAAACCTGCAAATAATAATTTGTGGCTGTGATTAACTTTAATAAAAAAGTTGACTTACGTAAGTCAAAAACAACGACGTTGAAAAAGAAGATTTAAAGTGCTTAATACATAGCAAAAGGGATGGATAAATTATTCATGCTTCATCTAAACGTTTCATAAAGTCATAAACAGTGTTTCAATGTTACTTCTCCGGTGGGAATCGAACCACACGTTTACCGCTTGCCGGGCGGGTGCCATTACCACTAGACTACGGATCTGTATCCCCTTCTTCACCGATCAAAACGTTCATGCGGCAAAGGTCGTTCGCGAAAAGTTGGGGCTTTCTCTAGATTACAAAGAAATTACCACCGAGAATTTTTTAAGGCAAATCAGAGAAGTATTAGGCAATTTAATGTGAGTAGGTGGTTGCTAGAATGTAAATTTAAATTAAGTCGTTACTTCAGTTATAAAGAAAATATGGAGAAATTGTCTAGACTATACAAAGATCGAAACGGAACTCCCCTAGAACGAGCAATTTTCTGGGCGGAATATGCCATGCGTCATAACGGATCTCAGATTTTGGATACCCGAGTTCGAGATCTTCCCTATTACGAGACGTGGTGTTTGGACGTTGTTGCTTTGTTCTTGCTTCATGTATCGTTATATCTTTAACGTTTTACAAGATGGTGAAACTCGTTAAGACCATACTGTAACTGTAAAAAAATGAATTCGACTAGAATTTTCTACATCTCTTACACGTGAAAAAGGAATCTCCATTAAAAATGGAATTTCCTGAGTGGAGTAGCTTGCACTATTTGTTGTTTTATGTGTGGTTACGTGTTTATCGTTGTGCAATAGAGACATTTTTTCTTTTGCTAACTTAAACCATGTGCGAATTTAACTATGAATTCCTACAAATTCTCGTTTTTGGGCAGTTAGCATCATGCGTTAATAAACATCATAACCAAAAACCTTTCAATAGCTTCCTGTTCATGCTTTGTTGGATTATACATTATACAATACATTGTAAATCATGATAGTTCAACACGACTATAACATTTAGTACCGCAATAAAAGCAGCTTGACAGTTAACCCCAACGGACCACACTAAAACGCGTCAATTACGTAATCCTCGCTCGCAACTCCAGCACCCACACGAATTGCACTTACGCTCACTGCCGCGATTACGCCGATTGACACACTTTCTTGACGAGCGAATCGCGCAGAGAACCGCAATTGGACTCGACCCGTGACGAGAACGACTGCCCCGGGTCACTCACTTATCTGGATCCTGGCGTTCATCAATCCCTACATTTGACTTGTACATACATACAACAATAAATTGTTTACACCATCCCTAAGAACTTTGAATTTAGGTAGTCTGGAGACAAACATGTTCATTTGGTCACAAGACTGCTTTAATGGATGTCCGGTAACAGAGAACATCGACATCAAACAGCGACAGTTGCTTAAGTTAATAATAATAATAATAATAATAATAATAATCATTTATTTCCAACAGGCAAATTACACCCAATTACTGGAAACAATAAAATACTTAGTTCTAACAAAGAATGTAGGCATAAACTTAAAATTAAACGTATTTAACCAGAAAAAAATATATTAAAGTGAAAAAGAAACAAGGGAAGGTAAAAAAGAAAAAGTTATTTCTCAAAAACCGTAATAACAATTTCCGAAATTCTATAAATGGAGTCAAAATGAATGTCACATACACTGTTTAAGCTATTAAATAAATCCATCATCAGCGCTATCGGTGACTTAACTAAAACATTAGTTCTTTTAGGTGCAGAATAAAAAGTACGTGAGTTCCTTGCGCACATGCGAGGCACTAAAAAACTAAGTTTATTTAAAAGATAAATGCAGTCTATTCGGTAGTTGACAAGATTGTAAAGGAAGCGAATAACACTTATAGCACGTCTGGTATTTAAGGTTGTTAAGTTAAATCTTGCCAAAAGAAGCGAATGATCAAGACCAATAGGGGGATAAACACCATCAACAACATAAGAAATGAATTTAAGGAATTTCCTTTGCAACGATTCAATGTGATCTTTATGAATATTGTATATAGGGTACCATATCAATGCACAGTATTCCAGCCTGGATCTAATCAATGATGCATAAAGGAGTAGCAGAACAGATGCATCGGTGAAATCTTTGCAATTCCTATAAATGAAACCATAAGTTTTGTAAGCCATGCCCAAAGTATCAGAAATGTGATCAGTGAAATAGAATTTTTGATCAAATAGAACACCGAGGTCCTTGATTGAATCAACACGATTTATAACCTCTCCATTTAACGAATAATCATGTAGTAATAATTTAGATTTTCTCGAGAAAGTCATTACATTGCATTTGGATACGTTAAGGGTTAAGCGATTTTGTGCACACCAGTTTGAGATGATGTCAAGATTTTTTTGCAAAATGAGAGCGTCACCAGGAGCACGTATTTCAAGGTAAAGTTTCATATCATCGGCGAATAACAATTTACCACAAGAGATATCATCAACTATATCATTGATGAATATGAGAAATAAAAGTGGGCCTAAGTTTGACCCTTGAGGTACCCCAGAGGTTGGAGAAAAGCTTGAGGAGTAAAAGTTACAGTATCTGACAAATTGTACTCTGTTGAGTAAATAAGATTCGAGCAGTAATAATAAGGACTGAGTGAAGCCGTACGACTGTAATTTGTTAAGAAGAATGTAATAGTCAATTTGATCAAAAGCTTTTTGAAAGTCTGTATAGACAACGTCTACTTGACCTTGTTTATCAATGACTTCGGATACAAATTGGCTAAAACAGGCGAGATTTGTAACAGTAGATCGTTTATCGACAAAACCGTGTTGTTCAGTTGCTAGTAAACTTTTTATTTGAAAATAAATGTGTTTATAAATTACTGACTCGAATATTTTAGAAAAATTGCAAAGTAAAACTATTGCTCTGTAATTAGGAATTAATGTTGGATCGCCCTTCTTAAAAACAGGGGTGACACTGGCTTTTTTCCATATTTCAGGAAACTGTGAATTTCTTATAATTAGATTGAACAGGACATGTAACGGTTTGACCAAAACACAAGCGCAGTCCTTTAAAATAAAACTTGGAATTCCGTCTATGCCGGCTGTAAGTGAATTCTTAGATCGCTTTAAGGCTTCTAGAATTTCATCCTCTGAGATAGATGTAACAGATATGGGAGTACTAGAGAAACATTTTGTTACAGCGCACTGCTGGCTAAAATCGGAAGCAATATATACGGAATTGAAGAAATCATTGAACGCGTTTATAATAGCGGAAGGACTGGACAGCTCACTATCGTTGTAGTACATTACCCCTGGAATTCTTGTGTGACCCTTTTTCTTACGAATATATTCCCAGAGCTTCTTCGGATCGGTTGAGAGCGAATGTTGAATATTACTCAAATAATGTTGGTATGCAGATGTGATGAGTGTCTTACAGAGTGATCTGTAGTATCTGAATTTGATCAAATAATGTTCAGTTTTGAAACGTTTATATTTTTTATGAAAAGAATATTTCAACTTTAGCGAGTCAATTATCTCACGATCAAACCATGGAGGGTATTTGCGACAATTGTTGGAATTAATTCTATATTTGGGAACAGACTTGGTAAAAACTTTGTTCAAAGCGTTATAGAAAGAAGAACAAGCAGCGTTTACATCCTTAATGTCATACAAGAAAGACCAATCTGCAGATAAAAGGTCTTGATACAATAACAAAAAATTAGCTTTCATAAAGTTAAATTGTTCTGAATCGGTGTTCGTGCTGAAATTAACAAATGGCTTTTTTATTACCTCAAAGCTTAAATCTAAACTTGGATGGTAGTCATCTTCAATGACAAGAGCGTGCTCCGATCGGGTCACATTACAATTAACATTAGCGAAAACTAAATCTAAGGTACAATTGAATTTGTTTGGCACGTTATTAAATTGGGTAAAGTTATAAAAGTGACTAAAATTATTTAAGTGTGTACTTATACTATCGTTGGACTTTTGGCAAAAATTTGGCGCATTAAAATCACCCAATACTATAACTCTGTCGTTGTGAGTTTCCTCAATATTACTAAGTATGTCAAGAAATAATTGGTAATCATTAACGGACACAGATGGGGTTATGTAAAGAACAAAAACAAATAAACAAGTACTAGTATCAAAAGAGATCTTCACGCCAACAATATCGATAAATGGTAGAGTATTAGTAATGGGGGAGAGGTCCAATTGAGAACACATATATTTACTTTCCGCAGCGAAAAGAACTCCGCCGCCCCTTGAAACATGCGTCAACTGTTGATTCCTGTCTTTTCTAAAGACAACAAAGTTATCAGGAAAAAGTTCACTATTCTGAATTTCGTCGCTTAACCAGGTTTCACTTAAAGCTATAAAATTATAATTGCACATATATATATTGTTATAAAAATAGTTAACTTTTGAGCGCAAACCTCGGACATTTTGGTAAAAACAATTGAGAGGAGTAGTGTAACTGGGTGGCGCTTTCAGTTTAAACGTATAATTTTAGGAGTGCCATTGTAATATCGAATTTTTAGATTAGATTCGCCTCTAGCAATACGGCCGTTCATCTCTGTCTTAAGTTGATTATATAATTCTAATTGCTTAGGTGTCCTATCAAAAGAAATATTGACGTTTTTGAACCGCAGATCGTTTTTGAGATTTTTAGAACTCCGGACTACACTGAAAACGTCAGATTCGTTCTTAAAAAACACCTTAATGGGTCGATTGCGAGATTCATTAAATCTACCCATTCTGCGTACACTGAAATTTTCGAAATCGACATTGGGGTTGGTGATGTTCAAAACATTTTTAACTAGAAGATTATCATTTTCCTTTCTTATCTCATGAGAAGAATTATTGGACTGCTCAGGTAAATTAAATATAACAATATTTTTGGCACGTTTCTGGCGTTCCAATACTTCTTGGACAACTTCTTCCAGTACAGGTGTGGACTGACGTTGTTGTGATGACTGGGTGAGTTTGACGTTAATGTCATCAAGTTGAGACTGAAACTCAGTTTTAAGTTGGTTAATTGAAGATGACAACTCATGCTGAAGAGATGTAATAAGTGTTCTGAGATCTTTAAGGCAGGACATATTGTTATTGCACATTAATAAGTTGGACACACCAAAATAACATTGTAAAACCCTGTATTATTAGTTGTATAATATTTATTAGATAATAAAACGACCACATGTGTCATAAATCAACGAACTGAACTTATTTTTACTTATTTGTTATGCTATCGTTGCTAATTTATAATTATTTGATGTAATTTATATGTTTACATTATATACATATCATTGTGATTTTTTGCATTATTTGTCATACATATTCCATGTATAACTTATGGTTGTTTTTTCCTTTTATGGACTTTCTAATCATCAGTGGTTAATTATGATAATGATACTTATTGGAAAAGAAAGAAAATATAACAAAAATAAAAGGAAACATATTTTTTTCTAAATATTAAAGATAGGATTTAAAGGAGATTTTATCGAACGTAACATCCCGAGTGCAAGGTATTTTTCCGAAAATTTGCGGCGAAATGTCAAGTTGACGAGTGCTTTTTGACATTGAGGGCAAATTTTCGGAAAAAAAAACCGAGCAGGATTATTCGGCTAGAAAATCCCGTGAACAAAGAAACTCATTTTAGTCCAATTTCCGGAAATCGCCCGTTACCTTTGACGAGGTGCAATTTTCACTTAAATCAAATTCTGATTGGTTATTAAGGCAAAATCCTAATGTCACTGGTCGATTTTAAGTGAAGGCGATTATTTAAAAAATGTGACTGCTACAATACTTTATACTCATTACGTTATTCATTATAATATTTATAAATACATTAATCTTATTATTTACCTTATCTTGAATTATAATCACTTATCCATTAGTTTTTGTCTGTTTGATGGCATTTCTTCATCGTTACATTCGACAAACCTTCCCAATTCTAGTATATTTACGAAATTTTCAAGACCATTTCAACGACTATGAGCTAGTTTCAACAAAATGTATCAAATTTTAGTAGACAGTTTGAAAAAAAAAATATATTGGTTAAACACATTTACAATATTTACAACCGCGATAAAATCAGCATTACTAATACATTTTATCGTGACAGTTATCGTCACACTAAATTTCAACATTTCTCTGATTTGTCATTTATATTTTTTGTACGTTGTTGTTCCTTTTTTTTCTAAAACTTTCTACATAAATATAATTCCTTGTGTAAGTGGTGATTATACTTTAATTTCTTTCAAACAATTCGAATCAATGTTAAAATTTCTAGTTTTGTTCGCTCTAACTACAGAATATGTAATATGTGCTAATATCTTAATCACATCTACCGTAGTCTCACCAAGTCATCAAAATTGGAATAGAGTTTTTGCTTTTGGTTTAGTCAAGAGAGGCCACAACGTCACATTACTGGACTTACAAAACGATAACGAGCAACATGCCAACTATTCTCACTTTAACGTAGAAGGTAATACAACTTCAACACAAAGTCATCAAACAAATACATTTACCTACTTTGAAGGTCCCTACAATTTGATGGGAACTAAATACAAAGTGCCTGATTTTGCAGAGTACACACCGACTGAAAGTGTTGTCTGGATACTTAATATGGGGTTTGATACATGTGCAGAGGCTCTTCGTTCTCAAGGCCTCCAACGACTGTTAAATTATCCTCGAAATTTCAAGTTCGATTTAATCATTTTGGATGTTGCTTTGCAGTGTTGCTTCTGTCCGTTAATCCACAGATTCAACTATCCTCCGGCAATTGGCACCACGCCTTGGCCTCTACCAACATTTCTAACATGGGATTTTGGGAATCCATTACAATCGACCTATATACCGTGGTACAATTTTCCATACGGCGAAGACATGACCTTAATAGAACGCTTTTGGAACCACATTTTCACGTATAGCGAAATACTATTAAAATCTCGCTTTATTAATAAATTAGAAGAAAAACTGATAAAAACTTTCGGTGACGATATTCCACCTTTGAAGAAGTTAGAGCGTCACATTTCCTTACTGTTATCTAACCATGATCTCCTACTACATTATCCTCAAGCTTTGGCGCCCAATTTAATTCCCGCTGGAGGTCTCCATATCGCAAGTCCCAAGGAATTACCGAGAGTATGTACAAATTGCGTAATTGTATGATCTTTAGTAAGCTCCCTTAGGAGTTGGCATCGGTTCTAGATGACGCGAAAAACGGCGTTATTGTTTTCTCCTTAGGCACCAACATGCGCTCCGATTTTTTAAAGAAAAAATTGCAAAGATCCCTACTGGATGCTTTCAGTAACCTATCAGAAATCGTGATATGGAAATTCGAAAGCGAGATGGACAATCTCCCGAAAAATGTTATCGTTAGAAAGTGGTTACCACAGAACGATATTTTAGGTTTGTCAAACTCCAAAACCTCCAAAAATAAAACATCGTCTTTTAGGTCATCCCAACGTGAAGTTATTCATAGGACACGGTGGAGCTTTGAGCACTCAAGAAGCCATCTACCATGGAGTACCAATGATTTGTATCCCCTTCTTCCTAGATCAAATCGTTCACTCGGGAACGATCGTTCGCGAGAAATTGGGGCTTTCTCTCTATTATAAAGAAATTACCACCGAACTTTTTTTAACCCGAATAAGAGAAGTCTTAAACAATTCGGTGTGAGTAAGCGAATGCTGGAGTGTAAATTTAGATTAAATTGTGATTTCAGTTATAGAGAAAACATGAAAAAACTGTCTAGACTATACAAAGATCGACAAGAACATCCTTTAGAACGAGCAATTTTTTGGGCGGAATATGCTATGCGTCATAATGGAACCCATATTTTGGATATCCCAGATCGTGATCTTTCGTATTTCCAAACTTTGAGCTTGGATCTTGTTGCGTTGTTTATTGTTTTCTGTATGGTCTCCTGTTTACTACTTTACAAGATAGTGAAGATCATTGTAAGCAAATTTAAACTTGTAAAATTACACATATTGCTGTAGTAAGCTTGGTACTCACTATTCACATATCAAGATCATCCTAAGACATTAATAATTTTTTCGTTGAGTTTTATTTTAAAATTTTCGAAAATTAGAAACTACAAACAATGTAGTCCCAACAAAGTGGATAATTTTACTTGAATCACAGGTTATATGTTTTTCTGAAAGTTAAAACAACTATTGGGTGTAACTTAGCAATTTGTTTAAAAATGCGTCAGAGTAGGCGTTACTTATTTATTATTCACTAAAATTATCGCCGTACCTACCAAACGTAGCATGTGTTTTTAGACATGATTTACATGTTTATATTTTGTATATATTACCGTTATTTAAATTCACGATATAGTTTAAATTTTGTTAATTACTTACGTTTGTGGTGAACGTAATTCAGTCTTTGTCATACCGTTACTTTTCTTTGTTGTTGTAAGTTGTAACGGAATTTTGAAATTTAAATTTAAAAAACTGCAAACAATGTTACAATTTCTGATTTGGTTAGCTCTAAGTACCAAATGTGTACTGTGTGCTAATATCTTGTACGTATCTTTGTTACCCTCACCAAGCCATCAAATCTGGAATCGAGTTTTTGCCACTGGTTTGGGTAAGAAAGGCCACAACGTCACATTAGTGGATTTAGAAAAAAACAAAGAGCAATTTGCAAACTATTCCCACATTTACATCGAAGGTAAGTACTTTAACAAAAAAAGAAATAAATTAAAGTTCACTTTGAAGGTGCTTACGATGTGATGTACTCAAAATTCGACCCGTGGGTATTAGCATCGTATACACCCACTCAGACTATTGCCGGTACCATCGAAATAAGCATTGTCGTATGTGAAGCAGCTCTTGAATCTCAAGGACTCCAACAACTGTTAAATTATCCTCCAAATTTTTCATTCGATTTAATAATCTTTGATGTTACTCTGGATTGCTGTTTCTACCCCTTGATACACAGATTCAACTACCCTCCGACAATTGGGACAAGTCCTTGGCCCCTACCATCATTTTTAATCTATCCCTTCGGAAGCCCTTTACAACCTTCGTACACTCCATGGTACGCCCTTCCATACACCGATGACATGACTTTGATGGAACGTTTCTGGAACCATATTTTCACTTATGGTGAAACTGCATTTAGACCCCACATCAAAAATCAGTTAGAAGAAAAACTCATGGAAACCTTTGGTGAGGATACACCACCTCCGAAGAAACTAGAGGCTCACATTTCTTTACTGTTGTCCAACCACGATCTCCTGTTAAATTATCCTCGAGCTTTGGCTCCTAATATAATTTCAGTCGGAGGTCTCCACATTCCAAAAACTAAAGAAATACCAGAAGTATGTATAATTTTTTTGATTTTATAATAACAATTAACAAGTCTCTTTAGGATCTCGAATCAATATTAAATGGTGCTAAAAACGGCATTATCCTCTTCTCCTTGGGTACAAACATGCAATCCGACTTTTTAACCAACCAAACACAAAGATCTTTAGTGAACGCTTTTGCAAACTTATCAGAAACAATAATCTGGAAATACGAAAGCGACATCGATAATCTCCCAAGAAACGTTGTCGTTAGGAAATGGTTACGTCAAAGCGACATTTTAGGTTCGTCAAACTGCAAAACCAACACAAGTAAACAAGATTTTTTAGGTCATCCCAATGTGAAGCTTTTCATAGGACATGCTGGAGGTCTGGGTACTCAGGAGGCCATCTACCATGGAGTACCGATGGTTTGTATCCCCTTCTTCCTCGACCAACACGTCAACGCGAAAAAGATCGTTCGTGAAAAATTGGGACTTTCTCTGGATTACAAGAAAATTACCACTGAGAATTTTCTAAGTCGAGTTAGACAAGTATTAGACAATCCGGTGTGAGTAGAAAGCTGCTTGAATACAAATTCGGATTTAATCGTTATTTCAGTTACAGTGAAAATATAAAAACTCTTTCTAGAATGTATAGAGATCGAAAAGAATTTCCATTAGAAACAGCAATTTTCTGGGCGGAATATGCTATACGTAATAACGGATGTCAGATTTTAAATACGCAAACCCGTAATCTCCCACCTTACGAAGCGTTCAATTTGGATATTGTTACTTTATTCATTCTTATGTGTATAGTTGTGGGTTTATTATTTTATAAAGTGGTTAATCTGCTGTTCAGCAAACTTGGAATATTGAAATTAAAAACGAACTAGAACAAATTTTCCTCTTACATTTATTAATCGAAAACCTTGTTTTAATGTAAACTTTAAACCGTCCGATTTTATTACTACTTCCTGAAATATCTACAGTGCACAACAAACATTTCCATTAATTATTTTCGTTATCTATTAACTGCACCAAAGTGTCACTATTTGAACAACGTCGTCGGTGCATCATGTACAGCGTTTGGCTTTTAATACTGTGTACTACAAATGTATTTAGTACTAACATCCTCTACATTTCTCCGGTACCATCTCCAAGCCATCACATTTGGAACCGAATTTTTGGGTTTGAACTGGCCAAAAGAGGTCACAACGTGACTTTCTTTAGTCCAGACAATGACAACAACGAATCGGGGAATTATTCCCACATATTAATGGACGGTGAGTACTTACCCGCACCACATTAATCCCTTCCACTTAGAAAATTCAAGGCCTCTACGACCAATTCAACAAAAACATAAACCTCAAGGACATGCTCGATTACACTGCAACTCAAGCCATAACCGAATTCGTCAAAATGTGCATGGTATCTTGTGAAGCGTACCTAGAGTCAAAGGGTCTCCAATTCATCCTCAACTATCCCTCTAATTTTAAATTTAGCCTAATCATATTCGATGTATCGATGGGTTCGTGCCTCTACCCTTTATTACACAGGTTTGACTACCCTCCAGCAGTTGCGGTCACCCCATTTCTCCTACCTCCATACGTGGCATACAATTTTGGGAACCTCTTGAACCCCTCCTACACTCCATGGTACAACCTTCCGTACTCCCACGAAATGACTTTCATGCAAAGAGTTTGGAACAGCGCACACATGTACACTGAGATAATCCTAAGAAATGTCAAACTGTACAAAGACGAGCACGAAAAAACGAAACAAATTTTTGGTGAAGTACCACCTATGGAGGTCCTTGAACGCCATTTCTCGCTGCTGCTTACCAATACCAACCCTATTTTAAACGGTCCTCAACCTCTAGCACCCAACGTCATCGCTGTTGGTGGTCTCCACACGCGAAAACCAAGCCAAGTACCACAGGACTTGCTAACCATCCTCGATGGCGCTACAAACGGAGTGATCCTTTTTTCGTTAGGTACCAATATACGGTCAGACCAAATCGACCACAAAGCTAGGAAGGCTGTTCTAGACGCATTTAGTAAAATTAAAGAAACTGTAATCTGGAAATTTGAGAGTACTATAGACGGTTTACCCAAGAACGTAATTGTCAGAGAATGGTTGCCGCAAAACGATATATTGGGTTTGTTTCTTTGAATTGATGATGCATTTTATACAACTCGGTTACGTAGGACACCCGAATGTCAAACTGCTGTTTGGACATGGTGGTGGTTTGAGTATCCAGGAAGCTATATACCATGGAGTACCAATAATCTGTGTTCCTTTCATGTTGGACCAGCACTTCAACGCCCACAATCTGGTTGCCAAAAAGTTGGGAATTTTGCTCGAGTTTAGACTCATAACAACAGATTATGTTTTGAAAAAGTTGCGCGAGATTCTTGACGATCCAACGTAGGTAGATTTTTAAGTTAGTACCATTTTTTAAACTGTTTGTAGATACGTGAACAATGTACGCAAGTTGTCGAGACAATTTAGAGATCAGGCGATCACACCACTGGACAAAGCTGTGTTTTGGGCCGAATATGTGATGCGTCATGGTGGTGCCAACTTCAGTACTTCGTTTAGGGACTCTTCGTTCTATTCTTTGTTAGGGTTAGACGTGTGTGGACTGTTAATTGTAATCATTGCTAGTATTTCCATTGTAGTTTTTAAATTAGTTAAATTGAACCTGATGTGGATAAATACTGTATAAACTATGTAATCTAATGCCCAAAAGTAAGTCAAAATAAATTACCGATACGATAAATTAAAAAATTATTCGTTACTAAATTTTCGGACACAAAAACAAACGGACTGATAAATAAGACAAAGGATTGATAAACTCTAAGGTCACATAAATGATAATACAAAGTAAGTCAATGTCAAGGTTTTTTAACACATCACGTCTAGAACATTACTTAACTACTTAATTGTCTCAGTTAATTTCATTATTAAAAGTACCCCAGATGCTCTTATTCTGGTAATATCAACTCCACCTCCACTACTACTGCATATGGATCAGAAAATAAAAATCACAACATCCACTATGATTGAATATAGATAGAATGAAGACAAAACAACAAGAAACTGGAAAACAAAAACAATCTTAATTTATTAAAACACAAATTTGATAGTAAGCCCTAATTCTGAAAAACACGCGAACATAAAACTTTGACACCCACAAACAAGTCCACGAAAATATATGCCGAGACTTTAACTTTTGTTGAAGACACTAGAAGTGATTTATATATATAACATTTAAAAACGAAACTAAACTAATTATATATTTTTCATCACTAATTACTTCTGCATTTTAATTTTATTTTAACCTTATTTAACCACGACGACTTCGTTTTCGTCTTCAGTGTCGGCAAGAACACAAACATGCTGATATTTCTGATTGTGGTCGTTGTAAGTGCACATCACGTAAAAAGTGGTAACATTTTATACGTTTCCGTGGCACCAACACGAAGCCACCATATCTGGAATCGAGTGTTGGCATTTGGTCTGGCGAATAAAGGCCACAATGTGACACATTTAACGCACGACAGAGATGAGGTGAAACCTGTCAACTATACCCAAATTTACGTAGAGGGTAATGTTCGATAATTTTCTGCCTACTTGAACGATTTTTTGTATTTTAGATGCCTACAAAGTAGCCCAACACACCCTAGACTGGATCAAATTGTCAAGAAGTGGCATACTTGAAAATATTTTTGGATTTGTAAATATGTGTGACACAATTTGTACAGTAGCTTTAAAATCACGAGGTTTGCAACAATTGTTACATTATCCTAGGGAGTTCAAATTTGACCTTATTATTATTGATGCTACAATGGGCAGCTGCTTCTATCCTCTCATTCACAGATTCAACTACCCTGCAACTATAGCAGTAACTACTTTACTTCTGCAAACAACCATAGCGTACAATTTTGGCTATAATTTGCAACCTGCTTACGTACCATGGTACGGTCTCCCTTATACCACCGACATGAGTCTGACGCAACGTTGGTGGAACTACCTAGTTACGTATATGGAAACTGCGGTAAAAAATCTTTACCACAACAAACTAGACAACGAATCTGCGAAAAAAGTATTTGGACACGACATACCATCGGTGGAAAAACTAGAACGCCATATTTCTTTATTGTTAGCCAATACGGACCCTGTACTAGACAACCCGCAAGGGTTGGTCCCGAACATTATTCCCGTTGGAGGTCTTCATCTAGAAAAGAAAGCTAAAGAACTACCTCAAGATTTAGAAACCATCGTGGGTGGTGCTAAAAATGGCATCGTTGTATTTTCTTTGGGGTCAATTGTACGCGCCGACAGTTTAGACAAACAGTTACAAAAATCTTTGCTTGAAGCTTTCAGTTACCTAAATGAAACCATCATCTGGAAATTTGAAAGCGAAATGGAAGATCTGCCCGAGAATGTGGTTCTAAGAAAGTGGCTACCCCAAAGCGATATTTTGGGTCATCCTAACGTGAAGCTTTTCATTGGGCATGCTGGATCTTTGAGTACTCAAGAGGCTATATACCATGGAGTGCCCTTGGTATGTCTCCCGTTTGCTATGGACCAGCATGTCAACGCGCAAAATGTAGCACATAGAAAGCTCGGGATCTCGATAGATTATAAGAAAATCACGACTGACTACATGTTGGAAAATATACGAGAAGTTTTAAACAACCCGATGTAGGTATAAAGCTTCCTAGATAACGACTAAAAGTTCTGTTGTAGTTATTCTGAAAACGTGAAAAAAGTTTCGAGGAGATATAGAAGCAGATTGAACACTCCCTTAGAGAGGGCGATTTTCTGGGCGGAATATGCTATGGAACATGATGGTGCACAGTTTTTGAGCACCCGGGCACGCGATCTTCCATTTTATACAGTTTTGGGATTGGATATTTTTGCCTTGTTTATTCTAGCATGTGTGATTGTATATTTGGCAACTTGTAAAATGATTACTTTTGTCGTACGAAAATTTCAAAATAGTGTAAAGTTAAAAACAAGTTAAAACTATACTATTTGTAAAAATGTTATCAAATACTGACACATACCTTGATTGAATACATCAAAAATAAATATTTAATGTTTCAACAACAAAACGGAGTCAGCTATATTTTGAATATGTATCTAGTACCTACGACTTTATTGTCGCCACGTTATCATTATAGTTCACCAAAACTTAACAAAGATAACAAACGCATTATAAAAATGAAATATTAGGTTTGTTAAATTGGAACACAGTGGAGATAAAAGTTAGCTATATTTTTGTCAGTTTATTCCTACAATTTTTTTTCCTCCTATATTTGTTCACTTGGTTTTGTCTTAATATCCTTTGTGTTCGCGTATCAAACCAAATACGAAATCATGTGGATGTTTTTAATTGCGGTCGTTTTAACTCCCAATCAAGTACACAGCGGTAACATCTTGTACATTTCCACGGTACCAACACGAAGTCACCATATTTGGAACCGACCATTGGTTTTTGGTTTGGCGAATAAAGGTCACAACGTGACACATTTAACACACGTCAAAGATGAACTAAAACCGGTTAACTGTTCTCAGATTTATGTGGAAGGTACATAGTTGTTCCACAATTTTCGACCAACTTTAGCAATTGACTGCATTTTAGATACCCATAAAGCTGTCAATCAAAGCGCAATCTTCTACACACTGTCGAAAAATTTTGCGATTCAAAATATTTTTATCCAGATTAACATGTGTCAAATGGTTTGTACAACAATTTTAAAATCACGTGGCGTGCAACAGTTGTTAGATTATCCCACGGACTTCAAGTTTGATCTGATCATTATTGACGCCACGATAGGAAACTGTTTGTACCCTCTGATCCACAGATTCAACTACCCAGCAACAATAGCAGTGAGTACCTTATTTCAACAACCACACTTAGGGTACAATTTTGGCAACAATTTACAACCTGCATACGTACCGTGGTACGGGTTTACTTATACAAGTGAAATGAGTTTGGCACAACGCTTTTGGAACTACGTAGTCACTTATGGCGAAACTGTAGCCAAAAATGTTTACCAGAACAGACTAGAACATGATGCTTGGAAAAATGTATTTGGGAACGATGTACCGCCATTGGAAAAAATAGAGCGCCATATTTCTCTGTTGTTTGCCAATACGGACCCTGTACTAGACAGCCCACAAGCGTTAGTACCGAATATCATTCCCGTTGGAGGTCTACATATCGAACAGAAAGTTAAGAAACTCCCTCGGGATTTAGAAACTATCATCGCAGGTGCCAAAAATGGGGTCATTTTATTTTCTTTGGGAACGATTTTACGTGCCGACGGCTTAGAAAAACAGTTACAAAAATCTCTGGTTGAAACTTTCCGTCGTCTCAACGAAACGGTCATATGGAAATTTGAAAGTGAAATCGAAAATCTGCCCGAGAATATCGTTGTAAGGAAATGGCTACCACAAAGCGACATTTTAGGTTCTATTAACATTCAAACCATCGAATTTACACACTCGTTTCGTTTTAGGGCACCCTAATGTAAAGCTCTTCATAGGGCATGCCGGGTCTTTGGGTACTCAGGAGGCTATATATCATGGGGTGCCCATGGTTTGTCTCCCGTTTTTTCTGGACCAGCATGTCACTGCCCAAAATATCGCACATAGAAAGCTCGGGATCTATGTTGATTATAAGAAAATCACAACTGAATACTTGTTGGAAAAAATAACAGAAGTTTTTAACAACCCCATGTAGGTGGTAAGTTTCTTAGATAATGACTATAAAATCTGTTGTAGTTATTCTGAAAACGTCAAAAAAGTTTCGAGGAGATATAGACATAAGTTGGAAACCCCTTTAGAGAGGGCGATTTTCTGGGCGGAGTATGCTATGGAACATGAGGGTGCCCATTTTTTGAACACCCGGGCACGGGATCTTCCATTCTATACAGTTTTGGGATTGGATGTTTATATTTTGTTCATGGTACTATGTGTGGTCATATATTTATTAACTCGTAAGCTAATTACACTTATTGTGCGAAAATTTCAAGGTAGTGTCAAGTTGAAAGCAAATTAAAATACTGAAAATAAATTCTTGTAAAAATTAATAAAGATAACCAAAACTAATTTCCGTTTGCAGTGAATTAAAAAAAATATTAAAATAAAAAAAAAACAAGATTAGTAGTAGGTACTACATTTCAAGTGGCAAAAGTTCGTGTTCATAAATTCTAAAGGCCACTTAACTGATAACAAAACTAGTAAGTCAATGTCAAGCTACTTTTATTACGTCTGGTACGACACTCACAAACGGAAGCCAAATTAACTCAAAATTTTGCTTACAATGATGAGAGATAAGTTTTATTCCAAATGCATGCTCAGTGTGATATACGACATTTATTATCTAACACCACGGATTATAAACATAATAATTGCCATGATGTTACTTAATCGTTTCATTCCACTCCAACATCTGAGTCAACATGAAGATAATTCTGCCTTTGCTCGCACTCTTTATTAAAAGTGCCCTAAGTGCTAACATCCTCGTGGTTGCCCCTTTACCATCGCCGAGCCACTACATCTGGAATAGTGCCCTTGCTTATGGATTAGTAAATAAGAATCATAACGTCACTGTCGTTACGTCAGACAAAGATGACTCTCCAAGACCCAAAAACCTCCACCACATTTTACTTGAAGGTACTGTTATATTTTGATTATTTTGATAATTACGACGTTTCGGCAGGTACATACGAATTTATGCATGAAAACGAGGAGATGAACATCAACGAGATGTTCGGCTCTAATCCCATCCACACTTTAATAGAAATGCAATCGATGCCTGATTTCTTCTGCGAAATATTTTTAAAACCCAAGAGCTTTCAGAACCTCCTCGACTATCCCAAGGATTTTAAATTTGACTTGATAATCATCGATGTGACCATGGGCAGTTGCTTCTACCCTCTAATCCACAGGTTTCATTATCCTCCCACCATTGCAGTAACACCTTTCCTTCTTCCATCGTACGTAGCGTACAATTTTGGAAACCAAGTAAACCCATCTTATCTACCATGGCACAGTCTTCCCTACACCGGTGAAATGACTTTCATGGAAAGAGTGTCAAACTTTTTGCTTGTGTATGTTGAAGTAGGACTCAGATATGTGCATCAGTACAGACAAGAGCATAAGGTCGCAAGAAAATATTTTGGAGAGGATATACCTTCTATGGTCGAGCTGGAACGCCACATGTCTTTGATTTTGACAAACAGCGACCCAGTTCTAGATTTTCCGCAACCTTTAGCGCCTAATTTTATTCCAGTGGGTGGTCTTCACACAAGAAAAGCGAAAAAACTACCAGACGTATGTCTATGGTACCACTACTCGAAAATTTTCCACATGTTGCTTCTAGGATTTGCAAAACCTCGTGGACGGTGCCAAAAACGGTGTCATTGTTTTTTCGCTCGGAACCAACATACGATCAGACAAATTAGACGAAAACGTCCAACAAGTCCTTCTGAGTGCCTTCAGCAAAATCCCGGAAACGATAGTTTGGAAATTTGAGAGTGAGATCAAAGATTTGCCAAAGAATGTGATCGTGCGGAAGTGGTTACCACAGAATGATCTTCTGGGTAAGTATAAAACTGGAGTTTCTTTTTGAGAATTGGCAAAATGTAGGACACCCGAACGTCAAGTTGTTTATTGGCCATGGTGGGGCTTTAAGTACCCAGGAAGCTATTTTCCATGGTGTGCCTATGATATGTGTTCCTTTTTTAATGGATCAGTTTTTAAATACACAGAATGTTGTTACAAAGAAAATGGGACTTGAATTGAATATTCGTAATGCTACGTCTGAGGACGTCTATCGAACTATAAGAGAAGTTTTGAATAATCCAATGTATGTACTAGATGATGATAGTTGTGTGTTTGTAGTTTATATTTCAGCTATTCTGAAAATATGAAGAAAAGTTCTAATCGATTCAAAGATAGAATGGAGACCCCGTTAGAAAGAGGTGTGTTTTGGGCTGAGTACGTTATCCGTCACGGAGGTGCTCATTTTTTGAACACCCCAGCAAGAGATCTTCCACTTTACAAAGCCTCTGGATTAGACGTTCTAGTTTTTATTTCGCTGGTGGTTGTTTTATTCTTCATCGTTGTTTTAAAAATTGTAAAATTACTGAAAAAATTAAGAAGAAAGAAGAAAGTTAAAACAAATTAAGAAATATTACTACAATGTTAGCGAACTGTATAAAGTTTTTTTTTTTGGAATAAATATTTGTTAGTTGCCGCAGAACGATGTCTTACGCACCAATTATAGTTAAAAAATGTAGGTGGTGCCTTGGTACTTTCAAATTTCCCTTTACGGGATTGCTAAAAATAGAAAAAAAGTACCACAATTCGAGTAATCAAATAAACAGTCCGTGTTTATAAATTCGAAGGTCACTTTACTGATAACATGATAACACAAACTAGTAAGTCAATGTCAAGCTACAATTAGTATATCTCATTTAACGTCGAAACCGTCGTGCACGCGTCGTGTACCGCCACCGCGCTTCCCAACGACCATGCCGGACATTTAACTTTTTTTGTAAAACCGTTTTGTATATATTTAAGTTAACTTTAACCGTAATATTTATTACCTTAGCTATGTAGCTGGTTGCACGGAATAAACCCTTGTTATTATTTAAAATATTTCTTGCCGTTATATTTTATTATCTTGTTTTCGCGGGCGCTCACCACCTGAAATCGGTGTCTCCAGCTTGAGAGCAACCCCGGCCCTCCCACCCCCGGTGGCGTGAAGGTTGTCGCATAAGTTTAGGTCGGCCAGACGTCTTTTTAAATCAGCGATACTAGTCGGCCCAAGGCTTGGCACCCAAGTACGCCGCCACCACACGTTATCGGCGAGATTCAGTGTGTCTGTCTGCCTGTCTGTCTGCCGTCTGCCCGCCTTCCTTGATAAAACAATCATATTAAACTATATATGTATTTTGGCTGCCGATTCGTAAAAGCAAGTGTTATTCTACAAAAATTATTATGCGTTTTTTTAGAACAATTTCGCATACGAACATACAGAAAATATATTCGCCGCTAAAGTGGACATCGTGATTGAATAATAATCTGTTATTTTTATCCCCGTAAGACACACTTCCCACACAAGGTCGAAATTAATAATGCCTAAATTATTAACGTGTAATCTCTGGGAGGATAATAAATACCTAGCTTATCTCGAATTCTTAATAACTTAATAAATATACCAAGATTGGCTCAATAACTTATTTAAATTTATCGATTACGCCAAAGATAAATACGAGAAATGGAGGCGTTTGTAACGTTTAATGTATTATTAAAGCGATGTCCTGAGGGATGTAAGGAAAAATGTGCTACGAATTACAAAGATTAAGAAAGCGCTGCTTCGGGCGATGCTTCTTGTTTTATTTTACGAATTAATTGAATCACGTTGATCTTGATCGGCGATGAAAAAATTTTCTTATTGGGGAAAGAAAAAAAGATTCGAACAGGGAGAGATTTGTTATTGCCTTCCTTTATGATGAGTTATGACAGTCGATTTTTGTACGTCATGAAAAGTATTTTTGTATCCAGTAGACGTAATTTCAGGCAGTCAGTCCGAATTTGCAATATTTCTAATTGGGACCTTATCTGCCTGACCTGTCAGCGATCCTTTACCTTGTGGAGGTCTGCAATGGGTAGATATAATTGGCAGAAAGCTACTCGATTCTGGTGAATTAATAACAGAGATGTCGGCCCGCGGGTCGATTAAAATTACGACGAGTATTTTAACGTTTTCATAGACTCACGCACCTTGGCTCCAATACTTCTCATGTCCCAATATCATCTGTCTTCTTTATCAAGCACTAACTTGTATTATAACATGAAAGGTAGTCACTCAACCCAATAAATTAGCCTACTGTCTATTAACCTCGCCTCGGCCCTCTTCGCACTCAACTCCCAATCCGGGTACGAGTTTATCCCCCCGTTCCGGCAATAAAAACCGTGATAAATCGGGAAATTGAGTGAACAAACCAGTCCTCTTGTGCGTCGCCGCCCATTCAATACTCCAGCACGATTTTATTTAACGTCGCCGTCATTACCGTAAACGAATTTTGAACAGCGGAAAGACTTCAAATGGAGCCTACTTAGGCTCGGGTGGGTGTTCTTCGTTACGTTCGAGGGCCGATTTTATTAAAGGCTACACGGCATTCCGGGGGCTGTAAAAATGAAATATCGCCAGATTGAATTGCAGGGATCGATGCGCTCCGTCTGCATTTACCTGTCACCGCCGAGAATATATCGCTGGATGGAGGGCACCGGAGCTCACAAATAAGACTTTTTGTTCGTTACGCGGATTTCGCCGGCTCGGCGGTGTCAAATTTCGCCGGCTCGGGTTCCAAAATCGCAACACCATCTCGTCGACATTCCGCACGCGGCTGATTTTTTTTTAACCCACTAACTCCGCTCAAAAGCCCTTTTCTCTAATACCGCACTAAAAAAGATTCATGACCGTAATTATTTCATCCAATCTCGGTGGAATTTTACCTTACGTATATCATCGCACAGCAATAAGACCATTTCGAGTTCAAAAGAAACCTCTGCGAGCTTTTTTGCCGGATTCCCGCCATAAATCCGACTCAGTTGAACATAAAAATTCATAAATTGCACGAAAAACCTCCAGAAGCAACACGTCACTTACGGCGAACACTAATGGAGGAATTTACTTGATTATGCCGCAACAGCAAGATTATCCTTGACATTAGCGTTACGCTTACGACGTACTCATATTGATTATTATTGCTGGCAGGTAGGTAAGCGTAATGGTGGTGCGGTGATTTTCCCCGAAATTAATTTTAAATGGCCGCGAAAATGTATCTGAAGCAGAGGCAGGGTTTTCGCGGGTTTATCTAGAATATTGCCGCCTTTTTAAGCGCCGGCGGACGGAGGGATGCTTTTAAGGAGATTTAGCTATAAAACAGAATTAACAACATACGTTAGGTGGAAATAAATCGCACAAGAAAAGGCAACTCTAATTACATACGGCGCGGCTACGCAAAGTTTACGCTAAAGACGTAAATTACGCCATAGAGTGTATAATGGGTTGCCTACGAGCTGCAAACTAGTCAATGCGACGATCGCAGTAATCACCGATTTTGAATATACGAGTGTCGCATTGTTACATCGCAAGCGTAAGCTAAGCAAGTACTGTAATCGAGCCTATTGAACGACTGGGTACTTTTCGGTTTCTTGATGTTTCATGTCCCCTCGAATACGAAAACAGATCTCCCGTTTCCGTCTGTCTGCCTGTCTGCCGTGTACCGTCTGTCCGTGCCTGTAAAACGCTAACCAAGATTGCTGGCGCCCTTCAAGCGTCAGATTAGCACATCCAACGACTCTCTTTGTATGTACGCGATGTTCTCCGAAGCAGTACTTAGCATTACGTCGGTAAAACCGTAAAGTGGTGTAAAATTTGCCTTTTCTCGCTCCAACCTGTTGCTGCGATGCCTACACAAGGACGAAAATATCGATACCGTTGCAGAGAATCAAAACGACCTGGTCGTATTCCAAAATGTAGTTTTCTGGCGGTTGGTGAGGCTGATAAGTCCGTTCTGCTCGTGCTGCCCCCGTCCGCGGCGGTCCCTCGAGCAGTCGCACGCGTCGCCGCGCCGCCCCCACCGACACACAGCGTCCCTTCAAAACAAATACGTCTGTTATGCGGAAATGCCCGTTTTAATTTCAAACCCTTTGGAAAGTTTCCAACAATCTCGCTCTAACTTCGTTATTCGGATCTGCATAAATCTCGTTTAGTGCTCGCTATATAAAATAAATAATAACTCAGTTATTATTCGTGACATGCGCTACGTTCGAATAACGACAAGACAAGCAGAAAATGCACTCCCGGATCCGGCTCGCCGGCCCTAATCTCACTTATCTCCTTAACAACGTAATTTATAATAAAATTTCTCTAATAAATTACGGCGTAATAAGATAGCACTTTTATTATTAACCGAGGGAGGTTATTAAGCCGAATTTGGCCACCTTAAAATCGCTCTGCCAAGGATAAATCATACACGCTACGAGGAGCTGGAACTGTGGCTTTGTTTTATGGCTTAAAAAATGTAATTGTTGAGGTCGGCCGCTCGTGCTGAGGAATTTATGCACTCTGGGAACGAGCTCCGCTCAAGTTTCTTAGCTGTGTTCTGGAGGATTACTCGCGTTTAATTGCTCGCTTAAGTGGCAAGTTTCCGGAGACTTAGGGCGGTCTCCAGTAATATGCATAAGTAAATTTTTCCAAGGGTTTTACATTCTGCTGAGAGGGTACGAGCTGGAAGGCTGTTGTTTCAATTTACATTTAATTCTTCTAAAGACTTAAGTGTTTTGTGCTGGAAAGAAATTTTTCTGATTTACATTTAAAGCAATGTGCGTCCGCAAGGTTGAACCCTGTCGTACGACTTACAACACTTTCACTCATTACTAAGCCGTACACCGGAATCGCAGTAAATAGGACATTCAAATGTATAACTGGTTGCCTATGCAGCAAAAGCGCACACCATATTAAATTACAGCAGGTAAGATCTACAACTCTTCGACCATGTAAATACGCACCGATGCACTTCTGCAGCAACTACGAGCTAGTTGTAGGGTCGAAGTTCCACGTTCGCCCCTCATCACCCCTCTCTTAATTAAAAGGAAATATATTGGGCCTCGGCAGTGCGGCTCGCCGAGATTTATCACTTGTTAAATTTCGGAGTAATCGGATTCTAGCCGGTTTTATTACGACGTGATCAATATTAGAAATGTGTCCAGAAAATTTCGCAATCGCTGACATACTTTGTTACGTGCTGGAATTACGAATCACGCGAACTGCAAGTGCTTCGTATTTGATGATGGAGATCTGGATCGGTGCAGACGTGGCATGGAATTCGATTCGGGGGATGCAGCCGGGAGAAAAAATTGGAAAAGCTCGTTTAGACAGACGGAATAAAACGGAGAATTTATTTGGAAGGGCGAGGGAATGGGAGCTTCCAGGTGATCAGGGAACAAGCTCTTACATAAATATGAAGTGAGGAAATGCGGGGAGCGGATTGGCGAACGTGCGCCGGAATGTAGGCAAGGGGATGCACGGACCTATTACACTTTTACGTTGTTTCTTCTTCCCGACGAAATTTTCTTCCGACCTGTTTATTAAACTAACTTTTATCAAAATCTAAGCGCTCTTGAGGTTCCTTAAGCGTCGAAAATCCGGAAAAATATCTTCCTACCTTGCTCCAGATACCCTCAACCCCTTTGACCCCAATTTGTTTTTTCCTCCGCATGCAACATATCATTTCTCCCTCTCGCCCGTTAATAAACCGTGTATTTATTATTTAAGCCCTCCCGCCCTGAAAGCGGCCACGTGTTTGCTTTCAGCCCTAGTTCCAATTTTTCCATCGAATAAATTCGGTCCGGACAGGAGACGTGCTAAAAATCCCCGTCTCGAGATGGTAAAATATTACAATGGGGAGGCGCGTTCGCACCCCGATGAAGTGTTTGTATGGGTAATCCCGGTCATTACGGGATAAAAGATGAAAAATTTTAAATATGAGCCTACCCGGAATCACCCCGCCATCCATCATGCCCTCCAGAGCCGGAACGAGATCGCCTTCCAGCCCCAAATTACAAATTAAAGTTGATCTATTTAT